ATGGTTATACAGCAAGTCAATAGATGGCAATCATCCTTGCTAAGGAAATTCTTGGAGATTCACTGATTGCCAGGAAAAAGATGCAGGCAGATTATGTCAACATGGGACCCTAATATCTTTTAAATAGGCATTATATCGACATCAGATCCAATACCATCATACTCCATGGCAGATATCGGTGGAGGTTGTTTAATTGATTCTTCATATGCAGTTGTCATGGTTGGCAGTTTTGGGTGACTTGTTCTTGATGTTTGCTGTGACAGAAGAGCCTTATTACTTTCCAGGAGAGCTAAGTCAGTTGTCATGGGGAGAAAGTCAGTACTGATGCTTCTTGCTGTTAAAACCGGTTCCTGGGTGTCAGTTTCACTTTCCCCCAGGAAAGACTGAACCATAAACGTTCCTCACTTCGGGGACCATTTCTTCTGCCCCCTGTAAACTCTCCTTAGGATAAAGTATGCTCCCCCATCTGCAGGGAGCACTTGACAGATGTCATTGACTCAGTTGTGGGCTGCAAGATGACAGCAGGTGGAGATGAAAAAAATGAGGGTAAGGAATACAAAAAGCAGTGGAGTGAGGTGAGCAGAGATGAGGTTTCGAGGCCCCCATTTCCTGGCTCGCTGTTAAATACCATTTTATAAATACCATTTTATAAAGGGCCAGCACTGTGGTACAGTGGGTTAAGCATCTGCCTGCAGTACCAGCATCCCGTGTGGGTGACAGCTCGAGTCCTGGCTGCTCCACTTCTGTTCCAGCTCCCTGCTGATGGCCTGGGAAATCAGTAGATAATGGCCCAAGTGCTTGGGTTCCTGCACCCATGTGGGAGAAGCTGCTGGCTCCTGGCTTCAGAGCAGCCCAGCTCTGACCATTGTGGCCATTTGGGGAGTGAACCAGTGGATGGAAGACCTCTCTGTCTCCCCCTCCCCCCCATAACTCTGCTTCTCAAGCAAATTAATATTTTTTAAATAAATAAATATCATTTTATGGATCACAGCACCACTTGGAGTTGTCTCTCAGACATCTCCTGATTTGTTAATTGTGTAACTTTATTCTGAGGCACATGTGTGTATTATTCCTTGGGAGCTCAGTGTTTAACACTGAGTGTGGAATGTAATTCTTTCTTTCCTGATTCATAGCGTGCAACTGGCAAGTACTTTGTTGCAGGTAACCTTGAGATGTGCAGCCAGAAGATACAAATTCAAGTTCCAGTTGCCCTCTTAGAAACTAAATGACTTTGGACAGTCATAAGCCCTCTCAATGTCTCTTGCTTTTTTGTATAGATGAGCCAGATCCTAATTATCCTAAATCATACCAAAATATTATTATGAGGGCTAAAGTGCACATTTAAATTTGGATACCACAGAACCCAGAATGCTATGACATGTGCAACTTGTTGCAACACTTGCTTTATGCACACACACACATAAGCACACTCAGGCTGCTGGTAATAGAAGTCTGGTGTCACACAGGGGGCATCAACTGAGGCTGAGTCAGGGAGGGAGTCACTGGGAGAGAGGACCGAGCAAAGCCTGTGGTTGGCCTCCGGAATGTGAGCAGGCACATCAGAGTTTCAGGAATGAGCACGTGAAGTTGCAGCCATGGTGGGGAGTGAACTTCAGAATTGTAGATATTTTCGGTACTTCCAAATAGAGGCTGAGATAGTGGCAAATCAGGTGGATGAGGAAAGAAAAACTGATGTAACAAGGAAGACAATATCATCCAGGGCAGGTATGAAAGAAGGAAATAAGAACAGAATGAAGAAGAAGAGGAAGAAGGCGGGATGAAGGGCAAACAATGTTCAATGAGGTCCCCAGAGACAAGAGTAGAGCCTGGAATCCACCAAGATGGTCTCAAGCACCAGGGAAAGATTGAGAGAGAGAGAACTAAAAATCAATTTTAAACACATTGCAGAATGTAGAAAGGACAGCAAAACAAGCACATTGTATATTTTCATTCTTCTGCATAGATTTTGAACGAGTTTTCAATCCGTCATGGATGGAGTCAGCTTTGTCACATCATTGCTCTGATTCTATACAATTTTTTGGAAGCCCACAGGGGACAGGGTGACTTGCTCAAGGTCACATGTCTCCCATGGCCAGCCCAGAGCTTCTTGGAGTCCACAGTGTACTTTATTGCCCACCAACAGTGTTTGGACACAAGGAAAACAGGAGATAAAATATGTTGGCCTTTATCCTGCCCTTTTTTCCAAAACACTTAACTAAAACTTCCAACCACTGCAGGAAAATTGCATTCTTTCTATAACTGAATAAAATTGACACAAGGAGGTAAACATTGAAGGAAAGGGTAAAAAAAAAAAAAAGAGTTACTGCATGAATTTTTGTGTTCATAATGTTTATGCAGTTACGTTTATTTGGAATGATGAATATTATCAACTGTTGGTAAAGCACATTAAATATGCTAAGGGCTTGCAAATGCCTAATAGCTCCAAGTGCTCTGCCAGGTCTCAGACGAGATGTTGAGTAATGATGGCACATCACGCCATGGACCGTCGCTGAAAATAAATCACCGTGCACCGTCTTAATCAGAGGAATGTCATACAAGGCTCGGATAAAACAGTGTTAACTCTCATAATTTGGACGCCATAAATAAACTCACGGCAACACGTCAAAGGTAAGTGCTCATCAACTGAAGATGAGTAGGAAGGTATTTTACATTTCCGTAGGGTTCGCAAAATACATCCATCATATGCTCACCTCTGACTTTTAACCAGCATCGTGGAGTTTTCCCAAAGGGTGAGGGAACAGGGAGTTTGCCTCAGAAAAGAAGCGAGACATTCTGTATAGCTTCCAGAGGCTAAAATGTCTCCCGGTAAGAGAAAACCCATCACTGAGTGCATGCACTATGGTTTTGTGTGTGTGCTTGATCACAGACTTCTCAAGGGTGTCTTCATGAGAACCACGGTGCACGACACTCAGTCGGCCTCAAGTCTTGCATTTTATCCCCAGAGCAAGGTTGCTGGACCAACCTCTATGTGTTACTTACTCTTACTCAAAACGTTAGCCTTAGTGCACAAAGACTAAACAGAAGTGTACTGGTTTGGATTTACAAATACAGTTTCCAAATAAAATCAAGTATTTGTTGCACTACAGGTGACGCTAAAATGAAAGATTCATCTCTGTCCCCAGGACTCCTTGGCTTGTTGAAAGGACATTTAGCTGATAGAAGGTTAAACTATAATACAAGAGTCAAAGAAAAAACGAAATAGGGTGAGAAAAGATAAAGCCATACTGGTAGTAACTGCAATTAGTATGCAGTGGTTATTTTTAGCTTTCCTCTCTCTCTCTTTTCTGCTCTTAGGAATGGCTTCTGAGAGCTACAAGGGTGCAGCATCTGCCACAGGTCTTGCCCACCACAGGCCCTCCTTGAGCAGCAGGCATTTTCAGTACTACTGTCTTCTTGTTCTAATCCTGGTAATAGCAACTTCTGGCTGGGAGTTGTAAGAACAGCCTCTATATTCTCTCAATTCTAATTTTTGGAGGACACGGATTACTGAAGCACAGGTCTAAAATCTAATTAGATTGCCTTCCACATATCCACAAAGCCATATTCCCTGTGCTCTGGGTCTATGTTATGGACCATCCTTTCCATCTCAGATTATACATCTTAACCCAGTAGCCAAACACCACTGGGGAAGGTACACACTTACACGAACGTCTTGTAAACTGCAATGCCCTTCGAATGTGAGGGATCATTGTGCTGTGATTACAGAAAATTAGCCTGGCACAGCTGGGGTCCCAGGTCTTCCCTGAATGAGCTGTGTGAAAAGGGGAGAAAGACCCCTCTAAGGTCTTCCATTTGCTCACGTAGAAAACTGGCCTGATACAGCAGTTGCAAGGATTAAACAGCACAATGTTTGCAAATCATTTAGCATAATGTCTGGCATAAAGTAGATTGCATCTTTTATTTTTTCTCTCCTCTTACAAGCCCCCAGGGTTTAGCTTATTTAGTGTCGATTGTGGCTCTCCAGGATGCACATCACCCTCTCTAACTGTGGCTCTTCTTAAGCTAAATACGGGGACATGTGTGTTCTGCCTTCCTTGGTGTTCAGGCACCCATCCAGTGTGGAAGCTAGAGGCTTCTCTCTCACATTTGACAGGTGGAATTTGCTTACCTGCCTTATCCTGCTCTCTGAATGCTGAATTCTGAGAGTGTACACGAGGACTTGTTAGGTAGCAAGTAGGAAATTGAGCCTATGTGTGTGTGAGAAGGGCCTGAAGACCAGCATCTACTGTGGAAGCTCCAGAAGCCCAGCATCTTGCACTTCAAAGTCCTGCCCAGACCCTGATAGCTTTCCAGGTGGTCCAGCCCTCCCCCAGGGAAAGCTCCCCCGAGAGTTCTCTCTCCTCAGGACCAAAGGGGCTACCTGATAACATGGAGCAATAAAGCCTTCCCTAAGGTTTCTCCCAACAAACCCTTCTGCCAGGACTCTCCATCCTTTGTCCTGGGGAGAAGGGGAGGTGGGTAAACAGACTCCCATACTAACCAAGGGAGTCCAAACAGACTGGGCTCAGCCCTCTGCCTCTCTGCTGAGCCGCCCACCTGGCCTGCCCAGGTGTGTTCTCTGCACTCAGCCATGTAACCTCGCTCTCCCCCAGTCCGAGCGACTGGGCATTTCCTCTATGTCCCTTCCATTCTGACAGATGCGCTGTCCCCAATAAAGCCTTAGCACTCTGCCCTCTGTCTCTCTCTTGAATTCTCTCTTGCGTGAAGACAAGAACCCCACGGCTTCCACGGTCTTCCCTCCAGTAATGGATTTACGTGGACATCCATCAGGAGACATCCATCAGGAGAGCCTGTGATGGTCTAGGACCTTCCACTACATTCCCCAAATGTACTCACCACAATATGCCAAGCACGCGAAGGAAGAAGACGAAAGTCTCAGATTGTGATCCCCAATGTGAAGCCTCAGAAGTCCCCTCTTCTTAGAACCTGTGTTGGCAAAGGGTGGAGGGGAGGGACTTTAAAAGGTTACAAAAAGAAATAGTGACATGGAAAACCATACCCATTTGTAACAAAGTTTCGAGGGTGGCACATCTCACACAACTGTGTGAACAACCCAATCATCACGCTTATGAACCACGAAAAGGCTCAACCATACCCATTTGTATTAACAGCAAGACCATTTGGCCAGTTGAGTGGATGTGAGAGACAGTAGCTCTTCTTTGGGTGATGTAATCAATTAAGAATAGTCCCTAGAGCTCCGAACTCCATCTTGATCTCCATGAACCTGTTGTTATCCCACAACACAGAGCAGCCATGGCTCTGCAGCCTGCCAGCACAGGGGGAAAATTAGACGTTGGTCATCAGTGTGCCAGTAGCCTGAGTGTCCACAGAGGGAAAGGCAGGCTGTCACTCAGGGCTCTGCCCCTCTAACAGAGACTGTCAGTAGGTGTGCTGGTGCTGAGTCGGAGACCTAAAAGATTTTGAAGGGCAATCAAAGATGCCCAGGGAGGATCTGGCACCATCCCTAATTCCTACTTCCCAGATGCAGAAACCTGGCCTTAACTTAATTGGGAAACTTCACTTCTAATTACACACTAAATCAGCTCATTCACTAGAATGTCCAAGTGGTTCAAGAAAACACGCATGTCTTGGAAATGTCACACACATTATCGTATGGAATTCAAGATCATACATCTTTATGGACAAGTGCACATTGTGACTACAGAACTGTAGCCTCAAAAAAAGAAACCCAAAATCCTGTTCTGGGAATAAATTCCCTGGGAGTAATTTGCTTGAGGTATAAAATTTTCACCCAGTGTTTAATTTTGTGTTTTGTAATCATGTAACACCCATTTCTCTCTGGATAATTACGACTTCGTTTGTCTCTTATCATCACCAGCAAATTTCTCTTTCTTTAATTGGATATTAGACACATAGTCACAGTCTGTAGAATGCAGAAATGTTTTTCAAAATGCCGGTCAGCTGGAGCCCCAGCATATTAATTTCTGGCACAGCAATTCAGGTTTGATTGAAACTGTAGAGACATTTGTACTTGGTAAATTTGAGGGATTTGCAGGATTGAGGACATTCGAAGTTTGCCTTCAGAAGAGAGCCTTCAGCTCCTTTTCTGAGACAGAAACAGCTACATGTCCTGCTACAGGGACAGTCTGCAGCCCGTCTCAACAATGCAATGCTGTAATTTCTTTCTATGCAAACCAACAATGTGAAAATAGAAGAATGAGTCAGAAGGAGAACTTGCTTTAGAAAAATAAACTTGGACATTCTATACAATAGTGATAGTAAGTTTATTCTCAAACCTGATTGGAATGTGCTCAGAGAAAGATGCAGATGTGTATGCATGAAGCGGGTATGGGAAGTAACTCTGAGATGGCACTCCTATGAACCAGAAGGAAATTAAACCATTCCTAATTGCCAGGGAGCTCGGCGGATGGTGGAATTCAATGAAGCAAAACCAGCCCCACCAAATTAATGAGGCAGAATGTATCATTTCACAACACAGAGGTCTGCTCACCATGTCAGTCTCCACAGGGACCCAGGAGTGAGATGCACTAGCAAAAATTGCCTCTGGTTGGTACCAGACTGGTGAGATGCGTTGCCCAGAGGAGTCCCAGGGTGATGTAAAAAGCCCTCCCAAGGTGGTGCTAAGAATGAGCTGAGAGAGTGGGAGACAGGAAACAGGTTCTGTCTGATTTACTCCTTGTCTTACATGGGGTGCTAGGACTTCTCACATTGCTCACTCTCTGGGAGGCTCTGATTTACTTTTGCACATCTCAAGCCGTGGCTGGACGTATTCTAATGAGAACACACCGGTTGGCTAGGAGCGCATCAGCTTGAAGCCCTGTGGCACCGAGCGCAAGTCCTGCGGGATAATTTCTGTTACTCAGGAATGGACGCTAAGGTTCCATGACCAAAGTTTACGCAAGCAATGACCTTTTCTGTCTCTCTCACAGCTGCATCCCTAGGTCTGGAAAACTTAACAGATCCTCAATTAAATATCTGTGGAATTAATTATTTAAACTATTAATGAACAAATGCAGAACATGACCAAACAAGTTTCTGTATTTTCCCAGAGCCTATAAATCATCACAGCATATGGAAACTCTTCAAGGGGTAAGCCAGAGGGCGTATTTCCCAAATGTAATATATGAAACTTTTCTCTCGGATCATCTGATGGAGCTAGTGCTAAACAGAGAACGATACACTAACAGTGTTTAAACTCTGTATGAGGACCTCTCTGTCTAAGTGATAGACTCACGCCATCTGTAATTATAACTTCCGCAGTGATGACCAGTTCTAAGACTACATGTTCCTGAAAGCGTATCCTAGAACCATTGCAAGATGCACATCCATGTACATAACCACTACGTTCCAGCACTATATGTGTGTATGTGGACGGACACACACACACACACACACACAAAACGTATATACACAGAGAGACAGAACTATAAGGGACTCTGTGTGGGTTTATTCACAAACAATCGCTTACATGCACACACATATACAAATACAGTTATCGTGGCTGGCGCTGTGGCTCACTTGGCTAATCCTCCCCCTGTGGCACCGGCACCCTGGGTTCTATTCCCAGTTGGGGCACCAGGTACTAGTCCCGGTTGCTCCTCTTTCAGTCCAGCTCTCTGCTGTGGCCCAGGAGGGCAGTGGAGGATGGCCCAGGTGCTTGGGCGCCTGTACCCTCATGGGAGACTGGGAGGAAGCACCTGGCTCCTGGCTTCGGATTGGCACAGTGCTGGCCGTGGCGGCCATTTGGGGAGTGAACCAACGGAAGGAAGGCCTTTCTCTCTGTCTCTCTCACTGTCTATAACTCTACCTGTCAAATAAAAAAATACTTATTAGAATCAAGGACCTCCAGCCAGAGCGGTGTGGAGGGGGGCTTCCAAGAGAGGAAAACCCAAAGGGGACTGGTGGCAGTCGGCTTTAAGTACAGTTTCCAAGGAAAAAAACCTTGACAGTTACCAGGCAGGGACAAAAACCATCAAGGAGCTCATTTACAATTCCCCATCCTGCTGGCCTGCTGAGGCTGGGATAGGTACCTTGCTTCCACAGTAAGCTGTGAGCTCTGGAGGGGCTCCCTTGCTCTTCTCATGGTAAATGTGGAGATTCCCAAGGAAGGAGGGCGGCCTGTGTTCTTGGCTTGGAGAAGGAAGAAAATATTTTACACCCAGGTTCCACTGGGACCCCTGACTATCTATTAACTCATCTGACTCCCCACAGAAGGACACCCCAAAAGATCACAGGATGAGGCGCTGTTACCACAGGTGCATGAGCTACATGGTAACAAGCAAGGCTGCAGGAGGAAAACTCAGCAGAGTAGACCCTTAAGTAGCTGCACCAACACCTGAGGTCTGGCGCTTTCTCTCCATAAATAGAAAAAAACCTGTAGCAGCACAACACACTCGTCATAGCAGGTCGGTCTTGCTCACGCTGGGCTCCTCCCGTCCTCTGCCAAGCCACCGGGCTGGACACCCAGTGCTCTGCTGCTGCTGGTGGTCCACTTCTGTCTGCAGCAGGACCCCCGCTGCTCCTAACGCCAGCCAGCCACTGCTCTGTCCACCCGTCTGTCCCCAGCCACTGGACCCTACCTCCTTCTCTCCCCAGACCCTCCCCAGTACCCACTGCTAAACACTATCAAATCTCTCTCCTCAAAGGAGGCAACCCCCAAACAAGCTCAGCACACAACGAGGAGGGGTCAGACACCCATACAAGTCATTAGGAATGTGTATTAGCAACTTCTCTGAAAGAAATAAGCAGTTTGTTGTTTAGGAATTCAAACTTTCTGTGTTAGTGTTCCCAGAACCAAGATCATTTTGAGTAATGTGGCCCGAGGTGGCTTTTAGGAAAGATAGGATTGGTGAGTGGAAAACGCCTTAAAAACTAAAAACCACTGCTACTCCTACTATATTATTATACTACAATATATCCATGATATCATCATTAATGTAGAAAGAATTTCTGGCTTCTTTGTCATCATTTTATCTCATTTCTACATTATAAATGGTGGTAGAGATCAAATGCAAGGCCATAAAATGCAAATTACTAATAAACAAAACTAAATAAATGCAAATTAGAATGAGATGGCATTTTTTAATCAGAATGTGATGAAAAATACATGCCCATACAGAATGTATGTGTTGGTAAAATCATTTTGAAAAGTATAGAGCAACTTGTATCAATGATCTAAAAAGTATTTATCTCCTTTAAAAAACCATTAATTCCATTTTTAGGAATCCTTCTTAAAAGTCAAAGATTATTATTCATAAAATTGAACATTAAAATATATAAACAATTCAAATGGTATGCACAAGAAAATGCTTAAGCAAATTACAGGATAGATTATTATTCTGTAAGTAAAACTTTCTTCGAAGAAAATTTAGATGTCTATAAAATTTTTATAGAACATATAATATGTTCCTAATTATACTCAAATATATACACAGATGAAATATGTTGAGAAGTAAGCTGAAGGAAATACAGTCAAATGTTTTGTGCTTGGTAGGATTTTGAGTGAATTTTTAATCTTTATCTTTGCTTTCTAAGTTTTTCATGAACAGCACAGGTTATCTTAAAAAGCAGAGAAGAATTAATCTCTAAAACCCTCTCTTGATTTCCACTTTTCCTTTCCTTCAAGTGAGAAAACATTTTAAAGATTGCTTCTCTCACATCATTGAAAATGTCTTCATCCAAGGACGGTTGCCAGATTTAGCAAATAAACGACAGAACTACCACTTCAATCTGAATTTCAGATGACGAACAACTTGTTTTTTTGGTTTTTTTTGTTTGTTTGTTTGTTTGTTTTTTAGTGTGTGCTCTATCCATGCAACATTTGGGAGACACTGACCTAAATGCACACACACACCTTCATTGTGCCTCTTAAATTCAAGTTGCGATGGGCATGATGACATTTTACACCCAGCTCACCTGAGGCCCCCGCAGCCCAGCCCATGCAATCTGTCCTGTTGGGTGCTCACACCTCTGCAGGCCAGCGGCTGGGCCCTGGCAGTGGGGCCATCACTGGTCTGCAGGGTGCCCTCCTGCCTTGCGCCCCCTCTCCCTCCCTGGCCTTGCTGAGTCACTGCACACTGCAGGGTTCCGCCTCCACTGCTCAGC